GTGACACAATGTCATGAAAGTGCTCTTGTGTAAGGGGGACAGACATCTGTCTCCCTGGTCTCTGCTAGATCAGGGAGGAAGCTGGTGCTGGCTGAGTGGCAGAGGGAACAGCTTCTGGACTCTTCTGTAGCCCCTCATCTTGAACGAGTCAAGGCTTTCAACCCTGCTTTCACCCCAGAGGTGCTCTGGCTTTATCGCACATCGTGGGCTAGAACATATTGGGTGCCTCTGAGGCAATGCAGACAACGAATGGGGAAGGAGCACTGGAAGCACCCACTCAAACGTCAGGCAGATCTGCACAGGACCACTTTGGAGTGTTGAAGAGCAAGAACGTCACTTGGAGGACTAAGGTGCACCCTGACCCAAGCCCAAGTGTTTTCAATCACCTCCTGTGCACATGAACGTTGGACGGTGCAACGGGAAACCAAAAGAATGGCCGGAGTTGAGTGCCGGTGCCGGTGAAGAGCCTGGGAGCACCGAGGGTTGCCAGAGGAGCAAGCACACCGCCTTGGAAGAAGAATGTCGGAATGCTCGTGGACTTGAGGTCGATGAGACTTAGTCTCATGGACTTTGGACATGATATCAGGAGAGACCAGTCCCCGGAGAGGGAGAGCATCATGCTTGGTAAAGTAGAGGGGCATCAAAAAAGATGGAGACCCTCAAGCAGCTGGATTGACACAGTGACCGAGACAATTGGCTCACACAGAACAGCAGTGGGCGCCGTGCTCTGTTGAGCATGGGATTTCTGTGAGTTAGAGCTAGGTCGATGGCTCCTAACACCAGCAGTAGCAACGTGCACATGAACCTCTTCAGGGTGGACTACACAGCGTCAAATTGATCATATCTGTCAACAGAGGTGGTGGGGAAGGTGAAAGTCATCAGCCAGAACAAGTCAGGAACCAACGGTCGGGCAGCTCATCAATTGCTCATATGCAAGTTCAAGTTGAAGCTGAAGACAATTAAACTTAAGTCCATGACAGCCAGCGTACAATTTGATTATATCCTACCTGATGTGGAGACCATCTCAAGACTAGATGTGACGCACCGTACACTGATGCCTGAAGACCAGTCGGCATGTGGGACAGCATCGAGGACGTGACACCTGAAGAAATGTAATGTCAATAAGAAGATGGGAAAAAGACCAAAGTGAATGATGGAAGAGACTCTGAAACATGTCCCTGAATGTAGAGTAGCTAACGTGAATGGAAGCAGTGATGAAGTAAAAGAGCTGAACAGAATACTGAAAGGGCAGCCTGAAAAGGTAACATGAAGTATTTTAATGAAACACCCAAAGACATTGAGCCAGCAAAGCAAACAGGCAGAGCACCTTTGGTATTTCTCAGGCAGAAAGAACGGAAGAAAATTTCAAGTCTTGAATAGAAATGTTGACGGATTCTACATGGGAGGAATACACTGAGTCCCTGAACCAGAAGTAATTGGTTAGCATGCAACCATTTCAGGAGGTGGTATATGATCAAACTGCTGGTGCTGAAGAAAGAAGGCCATGGACACTAAAGGCATTATTGAACAGCAAGGCTCCAGGAATTGGTGGACTATGGACTGAGATGTCTCAGCAAAAAGATGCAGCATTGGAACTACTGACTGATGCCAAGAAAATTGGAGGACAGCTATCTAGCTAACCCAAAGGAAGAGACCCGCAGCCGTCCCCTCTCTGATGGAAGGTGATCCATCAGAACGCACCCATGATTGAAGAGTATCACTGACATCTGTTTCGCTGAAGAAAAATTTCAAAATAGTTGCAGCAATACATTGACATGTAACTGCCAGACATTCTGGCTGAATTTAGAAAAGAACATGAAAATGGGGGGTATCATTGCTGATGGCAATCTGTCTGCTGAGCAAATAAAGCGAGAAACTGGACAAGATGAAGAAGAACACCACATCAGAATCGAAAGAGGATTCACGAACAACCTGCGATGTGCAGGAAACACAGCCTTGCTTGCGGAAAATAAAGAGTACTTGAAACACTACTGATGAAGTTCAAAGACGACAGCTCTCTCTACGGATTACACTTACCTCCAGATTCCTTGCCCCGCAGAACTAAACCTCGGTCTGAGTGGCTAAAGAAAGGAGGAAAAGTAAAACTGAAGTGGACTGGAAGTCTTGAATAACGTACGAGCTCATGTCAAACATTCAAAAAAGAAGTCAAATAATGTATTGCACTGGGCAAATCCACTGCACCAGAACTCTTCAAAGTCTTAAAGAGCCACGATGTAACTTTGAGAACTACATGTGCCTGACCCAAGTCACGGTCTTTTCTATTGCCTCGGATGCCCGTGAAACCTGGCCGGTGCATCAAGACGACCCCCAAAGAATCGGTGCCTTTGAAGGATGGTGCTGCCGGAGAATACTGAACGGACCACAGGCTGCCAGAAGAGCAAATAAACCTATCTTGGATGAAGCACACCCAGAATATGTCTCAAAAGGAAACATGGGGAGAAGTTTCACTTACCATATGGACTCGGATGTCAGCCGGCCCGAATATCAGTCGAGGCACCTAATTTCACCACAAAAACTGCATTAAAAATGTGCTGAAAAACTCAGCTTACACACGAGTATATATGGTACTTTGACCATATCAGGGGGTTCTAGTTCACGGAGAAGGATGTCATGCTTGGGGAAGGAGAGGGTCAATCAGAGGCAACTCTAGATGAGATGGAGGGGCACAGTGGCTACCGTAATTGGCTCCAACATCGCCACAATTGTGAGGGTGGGCAGGCATAGACAGTGTTGTTTGTTTGTTTGTACATATGAGTGCCATGAGTTGGAACCAACTTTGGCCCCTAACCACAGCAACAGTGGTGAGTGGTCATTTCCAGCTCCCCAGCAGCAGGTGACAGGGGATACAGGAATGCTAAGTTCCTCAGAGGATAGAGTATGTGGTACCTTCCAACACCCAGACACAGAGCGCTCCCTGAGCCCAGCTCCCTGAGAGTCCCGGGAGGGAGAATGCTTCCTTCCCATGCACCCGCTAAGTGACTCCTCTCCCAGGTTGTCCTTGCTAGTGACCCAAGGACCAGTCACAGCCCAGTAACCACCACATGAAGTTGTCCGTTCTGTGGCTGCGTTAGGCTTTATCTGTTTGCACGGGGACTTCGGCATCAGGCTGTGAAGTAGAGGCCTTTGGTGGTAGAAGAGAAGGCAGGAGCCGGCTCTTAGGCTTTATCCAAGGCCCACGAATCCGAGTGCACCATTGCTGCTGACCCACCAGGATACCCTGTCCCAGGGCCTGCCTTCCTGGAGTTAGGTGAACTGCCCTCACCAGGCCAGTCCTGCTTCAGACCTCTGTGGCCCTCTTCATTAACTAGGAAAGAAGATAGGTGCTTCCTGTGCTTTAAAAGAAAAAGAAAAACATTTTAAAGTAGTCACCCTAATCCATCTGTGGTAATGACGTTATTTGAGACAATATAGGCTCCCAATGGGTCCTTAGCCTCATCGGTCCCGCGGCCTGATAACCCTACTCAGATGAAGGTCTTGTCTCTCCTGCTCCCAGGGCTGAGGTCGCCTGTCCAGGACCCTGTTCTTCTGACACGGCGTTGCTCACGGTGTCTCCAGAATTGGAGCCGGTGGATCCGCTGAAGGGAAAGAGGGCCTTCTGGTGCTGGTGAAGGCCCCCATCCCCAGACTCTGCCAGGTGGGCCTTCCGCGCTCAGCCCCTGGCTGGCATCAATGGGCTGCTGCCCTGGGAAGGGGCACCGTATCAGGGATGGATGGACACCTCGCCCCCCTCTGGGGACAGTGGGAGTGAGCACTGTCTACTCACAGAGAACCCATGGGGGAACTGGTGCTCTCTCTAAGTTTCTGAATAAAAACACTGAGAAGTTCTGTAAGGCTTGCCTGCGACAGACGCATCCTCCTCCTTCCCAAAGACACCCGGCCACCCTCGTCTCACCACCTCTTCCCAGACCCACGGACACCTCCCAGCTCAGACAGAAGTCCTCACAGAGGGAAGCCATCCCTCTTGGGGTTTTGTTCCCCCCAGATGCTGAAGTATGCAGTGGACGGCCTAGGGGTTAAAATCATCTGCAAGACAGAGGAGCCTGGAGAAACATTTCCCTCCTGAGCTTGGACGGTGTGAGCTTTCTCCGGGCCTTGTGTTCAAAGCAAATAGTCAGAACACACACACACACACACACACACACACACACACACACTCCCCACCGGCTCATTTCCAG